ACTTATAACAAAGGCTTGGCTTGGCTATTATAACAAAGGATCGGCTCTGTTTATCATAACAAAGGCCCGGTGTCACAGTGATTTGGGTATCCCTGAGTTTTGGGTACCCCCATACCCAAATCCCTGCGGCAAGTGAAATCATCCACAAGTCTACTCAAAACCCAATTATCTTCTTACTAAGCTTTGTCTCAATAAATTAAAGCGTTATTTTACTAGATATAAAGACAATACGTTGCTGAAAATGGTCGCAATTTAAAACAGACTGTCTGATCCGAGTCAGCAGTATAACGACATACAAAACCGAAATCACGCGCCAAAGTGCCTTGTATGAACATGTGCTTGGTGCCTATCGATAACCCTTGAAATGCCGTTATTTTAAACCCGAAGGGCACATTCTAAACCTCATATAATTCGCATATTGATTAAAATCAATATGCGAACGAACACACTGAGATACGGCCATCACGCAATATGCACACTAATCTCAAGCTGTGACTGAGCTCTGTGTATGCTGCCTGTCTCCAATAAATTTTGTCTTAGACTTAGACTTTGTCTTATCGCTCTTTCCTTGACCATCCCTCCCATTAGATTTTGCTGGTGAACAGTTCTCCATGCCATTTAACGAGGTATTTTTCCTTTGTTTTGGGAAGAAATGTAAAAAAAATATAAATAAAGTGGACAAGGCTTAAATCTTTGGACAGGGGAAACATTAGTAAAAGTAGGATATCCAAATCCCTAGTGATTTGGGTATCCCCTTCTGAAGTGTTGGCTCAAAATCATTTCTTTAATTCAGGGTAGCCAAATCGACCGAAGATAGAAGGGGATACCCATATCACTAGGGATTTGGGTATCCCTTACGTTTTAACATTTCTAGTCCTTTCCACATTGGAATGACCTTCGTCTTTGCAAGTTTACTTTGCTTTTTTATCTTCGGTTGATTTGGCTATCCCGAATTAAAGAAACGATAACAACAAAATCAATAAACATATTGGAAGGGGATACCCATATCACTAGGGATTTGGGTATCCCTTACGTTTTAGCATTTCTAGTCCTTTCCTCATTGGAATGACTTTCGTATTCGCAAGTTTGCTTTGCTTTTTTATCTTCTGCTGATCTGGCTACCCTGAATTAAAGAAACGGTAAGAAATAAACATATTGCAAGGGGATACCCATATCACTAGGGATTTGGGTATCCCTTAATTTTTCGCAT